GGTTAATATGTTGTGGGGTTGTTAACCAATGTCATAAAACAACATGTGTACTACTGTTTCATGAGAAACTATTGGTTCTTTAAGCCTTCACCTGAAGTACAATAAAATATAAAAAATAAAAATAAATAAATAAATAAAACCACCACCACCACCACAACAAAAAATCGCCCCTCAATATGAAAGAACAGGGAACCCTTGGTTGGGCAAACAGTTAAAGCTCTCAGCTGCTAACTAAAAGGCTGGAGAGCTGAGTCCACCCAGAAGGGGCTTTGAAGAAGGCCTGGCAATCTACTTCTGAAAAATCAGCCATTGAAAACCCTAGGAAGCACAGTTCTACTCTGACACTCATGGGGTTGTCATGAGTCAGAGTCGACTCGACGGCAGCTGGTAACTTATACAAAAGAATAGACTTTATATATATGATAACATATTTAAAATCATGGGCTCTGAAAATCCTAAACTTGAAACCCAGGTCTGCCTTTTCCTAGCTGTAAAATCCCAAACATTTTTTACAAGCCTGAGTTTAGCCATTCCTAAAATGTGAAAAATAAATGCACTTATTTTCAGGTTAGTAGCAACTAAAACAGTCCAGTTTCTGGCATTACTAGCACATACCATTTCCACCTTCTGGCCTAAAACACTCTGGCATTATCTCTGCCTCTCCCTTTTCTTTTATCCGTAAATCCAATCTGTCACCCAGGTCAGCTGGTTGTTTATTTGAAACAACCCTTGGATTTACCCTAACTTTTACTGATTTCCTTTCTTTGAACTAATAAAAGCTTGACACACTTGGCTGCTAACCAAAATGTTGGAGGCTCAGTCCAACCAGAGACACCTTGGAAGAAAGGCCTGGAGATCTACTTCCAAAAAACCAGCCACTGAACACAGTTCTACTCTGACACACGTGGAATCACCATGAGTTGGAATCAACTGGTGGTGTTCTACTGGCATTGATTTCCGAGTATTTCATGAGCTCTCCTGCTTTGTAAGATTGTGTGTAGCCTCCATAGTCATAACTTTGAACAAGTACTTGTTGATATTCAATAATTAGTAGCAAGACTAGTGATTGCAATCAGAGGTTGATCTTTACTTATACAACTAAAGCTATTCAACTTACCTGCTTTCTTTGATTTTATGTCTTGCCAATGTTCTCTGAAGTGCAAGGTTCAGCCGTTCAAACTGGAATTGAAAAGAAAAATTTGAAACCCTCCCTTTAAATAATAATTCATTTGAAGATACAGACTTTAAAAATAAGTCCTAAAACTTTCTTATGAAGAAGCAGAAACGTTATTTCCTTTAATGGTAAGTACAATGAATTTACACGTTGGAACTGGTATTGATTTTCTGCGGGTTTTTCGAACTCAAGACTAATTTGAGTTCGGATGTGTACTGTGGCCCACAGCTTTTCCTGTGGTGGGTGGTCTCACTGACAGCCACAAAACAGAGACAAGCTGAGTTGGAATCCAAACAGAACACTCTAGTTTGGTAATGAATGCCATGTCTTCTATGAAGGAATCCACGGACATCACTTCCTCTGAGTCAGGAAATCCCCTTGGATGTGCTGCCAATACGTCAATCTCAGCATGGCTCAAGCCAAGCAAACACTGTGCCTTTCACAAACTCTACACCCAGCCACCCAGTGACTCTCCATCCTTAAATGCACGTTCATATTGACGCTTCACATATCATTTCCATCTTCTGCTCTAGAAAACTCTGACGTTATCCGTCTCTCCTTTTTCTTCCCTTAAATCCAATCTGTCACCACAGTCCATTGATTGCTCAACAGGAGCCTTGGATTTACCCTAACTTGCACTGATTTCCTTTCTTTGAACTAATAATCCTCATCAAATAGTCAGAGTTTCGCTCACTTTTATTGATGTCTGAGTATTTCACGTGTTTTTCTCTTTATTAACTATCCATTGATCTCTTTTAATGGCTCATTGTCTCTAACTGATAAGTGATAAGAAGCGCTGACATTTCAATTTCATTTCATAAAAATCATACGTGTCTATATGTGCCACTGATTCTTTCTGTAGTTTCTCCAGAGGAAAGTGAAAAATTTTATGGCTATTTTCCAAATTGGGAAATTCCTTTTTCTGTAAGAGCTATTTATATCTCCTTTAGAA